TTTATCAGCTCCCAATAAAAACCACAAGTCCCTCACATGTGTTGCTGTTAAACATAGTACCTCCTCTTTCTGTGCTTAAATGAAGTTGTTTTAGACCTTCAGGCAGAGTGCAGATCTATTATTCTTCATCTTGCTTCAACCCTCTGCCATGCCAGTTTGCTAAGTTATTTTTGGACACTGATTCTGTCATCCAGCACTTTGGCTGTCCCAGTTTTTGCCACCTGGAACTCTGAGAGATAGTATGTCATCTCTCCATTTCCCTGTCCAAGTAACTGGTAAGATGTGGGACATGAGAGGACTAAGGCCAGAGCCCTGGACTGTGTCCTGGGCTGCAGCCCTCTCTCAGGCAGACCCTGATGAATTACTGATAACATTCCACCAAACATTCTTTTTCTTAAAGTATATTTCATTGCTTATGCTATTACAGTTGTCCCATTCTTTTTCTCCCCTTTATCCCTCTCTGCCCTGCACCCACCTCCCTCCAGCATTCCCCACCCCGTTAGTTCATGCCCACAGGTTGTGCGTATCAGTTCTTTGGCTTCTCCATTTCCTATACTATTCTTAACCTTCCCCTGTCTATTTTCTACCTACTAATTATGCTTTTTTATAAAAACAATATATTATTTTATTTTATTTTTTAAAGATTTTATTTATTTACTTTTAGGGAGGGAAAGGGAGAGAAAAACAAAGGGAGACACACATTAATGTGTAGTTGCCTCTCCTGCGCCCCTGACCTGGGACCTGGCCTACAACCCAGGCCTGTGTTCCACACTGGGAATCAAACCAGTGACCCTTTGCTTCACAGGCCAGCGCACAATCCACTCAGCCACACCAGCCAGGGTTGGTTATGCGTCCTAGTCTCTGTACCTTTTCCCTCATTCTTCCTCCTCCCTCTCCCCGCTGATAACCCTCTTGTGATCTCCATTCCTGTGATTCTGACCCTGTCCTAGTTGTTTGTTTAGTTTGTTTTTGTTTTTTAGGTTGAGTTGTTGATAGTTGTGAGTTTGTTGTCATTTTAGCGTTCATAGTTTTGATCTTCTTTTTCTTAGATAAGTCCCTTTAAAATTTCATGCAATAAGGGCTTGGTGATGATGAGCTCCTTTAACTTGATCTTACCTGGGAAACGCTTTATCTGCCCTTCCATTCTAAAGGATAGCTTTGCTGGATAGAGTAATCTTGGATGTAGGTCCTTGCCTTTCACGACTTTGAAAACTTCTTGCCAGCAGCCCCTTCTTGCCTGCAAGGTTTATCTGGAGAAATCAGCTGCTAGTCTTACGGGAACTCCTTTGGAGTTAACTGCCCCCCTTCTCTCTTGCTGCATTTAAGATTCTCTCCCTATCTTTAGTCTTGGGTAACGTAATTATGGTGTGTCTTGGTGTGTTCCTCCTTGGGTCCTACTTGTTTGGGACTCTCTGAGCTTCCTGGATCTCCTGGAAGTCCATTTCCTTTGCCAGACTGGGGAAGTTTTCCTTCATTATTTTTTCAAATAAGTTTTCAGTTTCTTGCTCTTCCTCTTCTCCTTCTGGCACCCCTATGATTCAGATACAGGAACGTTGAAAGTTGTCCCAGAGGTTCCTAAGCCTCTTCTCATTTTTTTGAACTCTTGTTTCTTCATTCTGTTCTGGCTGAATGTTTATTTCTTCACCCTGTTCCAAATCGTTGATGTGAGTCCCAGTTGCCTTCCCTTCACTGTTGGTTCCCTGTATATTTTGTTTTATTTCACTTTCCATAGCCTTCACTTCTTCCTCCATTTTGAGGCCATACTCAATCATTTCTGTAAGCATCCTGATTACCAGTGTTTTGAACTGTGCATCTGATAGGTTGGCTCTCTCTTCGTCGTTTAGTTCTTTTTCTGGAGTTTTAACCCGTTCTTTCATTTGGGCCATATTTCTTTGTCTCAGTGCACCTGTTACATTGTAAGGGGCAGAGCCTCAGGTATACACCAGGGCGGGACAACTCACATCTCTGCATTGTGATGCTGTGTGTGGGGAAGGGGTCAGAGAAGAAACAATGCTCCTTGCTCCACTCTCGACCTGCTTTCAGTCACTTTCCCTGCTACCCACAGGTGGATTGGACCCTTCTGGTGCTGATTCCCAGGTGGGCGGGTTTGTGTATGTTCTAGGACCCTGTGGGTCTCTCCAGTGAACACTCTTGTGAGGCTGAGAGTTTCTCATGCTGCCGCAACCCCCACAGGCTTTTACAGTGAGAGTTTTTCAGGCTTTCTATTCCTGTGCTTGAACCCTGGGTTGTGCGATCTGTCTCGCTCCCCTGTTGTTGCTCCCTGTTTATCTCCATGCAAATGTGGGACCGCCAGCTGCCGTCTTGCCCACCCAGCCCTCCAGTCACTGCCTTGTCTCTGGTTCTCTGTGCCCGGCTGCCCATCTCCATCCCTCCTACCGGTCTGGATGGATGTTTCTTCTTTAACTGCTTGGATGTCAGACTTCCATATAGCTTGATTTTTTGGCAGTTATGGTTGTTTTTTGTTTTTAAGTTTGTTGTTGTTCTTCTTTTAGTTGTGTAAGGAGACAAAGTGTATCTGACCTCCATCTTGGCCAGAAGTTCCACCGAATTTCTTGAGGAGCATGCAGTGCCCGAGCCTTGGGTCAGTGCTGGGCAGACAGAAGTGGCAAATGAGATGAGTTCTTTACCTTCGAATGGAGGAGACAGATGCAATTAAAAACATGATAGAAATTATAATATGCGTTTGTTCAGTGCTTTTATTTTTACAGAGAGCTCCCTCATTAATTGTCTCTTTTGAGGCCTGTTATGCATAGGCATCAAACAGGAATAAATTTACTTAACCACAAACCATTCCCTGTTTTCCAAGTTATCCTTGGGGTTATTAGGATATTAGTCAAACGCTTTGCTGAAATTCAGGTGCACCGTGTCTACAGTACTTGTGGAAGTATTGCACACAGGACAGAGATCAATCTGGCCTGACCTTGCTCCTTGGGAATGCGTGCAGCTCCCCTTTATAAATGTTTTTTCAATTATTTGCTCACAATGCACTGCCAGTGTCAGCATAGCACTTCTCCTCAAAAATCTCAGAGGCACATTCTCTCTGCTGTGATGGAGTTCATCAGGACCAGGAGATTCAAAAACATGAGCTGATAGTTCTCATTGTTTATCCAAAGAGGGTATTTTCCCTTCACCCAGCAATTCAGGGGAGGCTGAGAAAGTCCTGCGTTGGGGTGCACTACCTGAGGTGACAACACATTTTTTTCTCCAACTAAGGGGTCCTGTCCCATTAATGAATTATAAAATGCATTTAGTAGGTTGTGACCAGCACTTCCTTTTAATAAATAGAATAAATAGAATAAAATGCATTAGAGAGCACACAGCAGGTATTAAGGGTATGTACAACCACATGTGGTGGGCTAAGATCTAAAATACATCTCTTACTCTGGGTCTCAGTCAAATTTAAGTTTGAAAACTGCTGGCATGGTGATTACATTCATCCTCCTGAGTCAGCTACAACCCGGTTCAGCTGGATGACTTGGGGCACATGCTAAACATATGAGAATTTCCTCCACAAAACCAGAGGGTAATACTTATCTCCTTGGGTTGTTATGGGTGTCGCAGGGGGCGATGCGCTGCGGGGAGCATGGAGCATGGGCACTCCTGGATCTGAGGGTTACTGTCCAGAGCCAGCTGAGGAGGGAGCGGGGCTCTGAATCCTGCAGAGTCCATCCCGGGGTTGTCACGAATGGGGGAATAAACACTAGTCATCGCAAATACTTCTCTGTTTGCCAGGAGAGGGGACATGGCTCTTCCCTCTAGGGGAGAAGGCCCCGAACCCCTGTGTCCAAAGGCTTTTATTGAGAACCATATGCACAGGGGTGTACAGCAAAGCTCATCAATCAATGTCAAAAGGCTATGTTTACAGAAAACAAATAGAGATCATAGATAACAATTGGAGAAACACAAGAGATCTTCCTCAGGTCAGGATCTATGAATAAAGTAAGTCTCCTTCCCACTATAAGCCAGTTATCAGAGCTTTTGAGGGACGAACAAAGCATGCTTAGAGGAATTTAATTCTTGACCTGATTGTCCCCAGGAACCACCCAATCCAGTTTAGGGCTATACCTGTTTCAAGCCTGAGCCAGGTGTGTGGGGCAGAGCCACCAAGAGATAAGGAGACTTCTTTCAGAGAAAATGAGGACTCTGGCCATGTCCAAGCCAAGCCAATGTTTGCCTTTTTGCCATTTCTCTGTGTTCCCCCAAGTCCTTGTCCCACTGCCCATACTGGCCGATGTCTGTCTTAGGTCATCTCTCCTCACGAGAGAACTTACCCATCATCAACAACTGACCATCACAGGGCCAAGCAGGGTGATGTGAGGGAGGCAGCAGCTGCGCCCCTGCCAGTGGGACAGGTTTCGTCTCTTCAGTGGTCTGTTTTCCCAAGGCCTCCTTGATTAGTTCCAGCCTTGGGGCCCTCTCACCTGTTGGCAGGGCTACAGTCCCTGAAACCAGATAGGACGGTTCCCAACAATGAGGATTAAATGAAACAATAAGAGCAAATTGCCTAGTTCAGCACCTGGAATGTAACATGTTGGGAAGATGTGGTTATTTTCTAGCTTTCAAGCCATGCACACATGGTCTGCTTCTTTGTCATTCCCAGTGTTATGAATTGCACTTCCTATTTTCTATTCTCCATTCTCTGTTCATGAGTTTGGAGAAGCAAGTCTGTGGCTTTTTAGCAATCCTGAATTTTATGGATAGTCTTTCACATTTCAGAGGGTTTCAAGGCTCATAAACCTGCCTCTCCCACTGCTGGGTGCCAGTATCACCTTCAGTCTGGGAGCAGATCTGTTTGCCCAGCCCCCGGCCCCCACCACACATTGGGATATGGGCTTCCCTGATCCCTCTGGTTATTGAAGTGGTGGCCGGGGGAGGGTTTTGTTTTTAAAAGTAGGTTCTGACAGGTGATAGATTCAAATTACCAGATTTGTTAACATTTGTCCATTTCTAAACCATCCTTAAAGAGAATCATACCATCCTCAAACATAGTTCCGCCGAACAGCCATGGCATCTGGATTCATATTTTCAACTATAAAGAGCTGATAGTGTTTGAAATTGGCAAGGACATGCTTAATTTGTTCTGCAGCCTCTGTCATAAAAGGCTTTACTCTTTTCTGTCTTGACTCTTCACATTTCCCTTTGATTGATTTCATGTAATCTTCAATGTACTTCTTTATCTTTTTAAGTTTTTAAAATATGTTTATTGATTTTAGAAAGAGGGGAAGGGAGAGACAGAAAGAGCGAGAAACATCTATGCGAGAGAGAAACATCAATCGGTTGCCTCCCTTGTGCCCAACCAAGGATCACACCTGCAACCTTTTGGTGCACAGGACGACACTCCAACCAACTGAGCCTCCTGACCAGGGCTTTGAGGAACTTCCTATAGATTTCTTTTGTGAAGCTAGTTTTCTGCAAATGATTGTTCATGACAACACCAAGACCAACACCAGTGATTACTGTGCCCTTGAGGTCTTCAGAGGAGGCATTTCCACCACTGAGTGAGTCGTCTATGTTACCCTTTGTCCTACGAACCATCTTCCCCTCAACCTGCAGGCACAGTCTGGCTGCCATCTCCCAGATGCTATAGATGTGGGAGAACATCTCTTTGTGGCTGGTGAGGTCCTGGTAGATGCGACTTAGCCTGTATCTTATGTAGGAGCGGAGCTGGGTGTTGGGGGAGCAGGCAGAAAAAAAGCTTCAATTTCTCATTCTGATTACAAAATATATTGGAGGCATGTGACATAGAAAGTGGGCCTCTCCATTAATTCTGTTTCCAACAACAGACCTCAGAAACAGTTGAGTATCTGGCCCATCTTATCTGTAGTGGGATGTCGGTATATAAACATACTACCAGAAGCACATGTAAAATAAGTAGAAATGTTTGCTGCCATCACATAGTTTGAAGTACATTGACCTGTGGGAGGACAGAGTGGGATGAGGGGGCTTATGTTGTGCTGGGGATGACCCACTGCCACTCCTGCATCGTTTCTTCACCTGGGGTTGGCTGAAGTGGACAGAAGGCGACTCCAAGGAAATACTTCAAATTGGTTTCCCTCGGTCTGGGAATAAATAGGGCAGAAAAGAGGAAGAGCTGGGAGATGGCAAGTCATTGCTGTGGCAACAACAGAAGAGGCCAGTGAGGCAAACCTATCCCCATGCCCTGCACACACCCCATCCTCAGTGACTCCAGGAGAGGGCCAGCCACCCTCCCTCCACGCCACCGCCACTCCCACCGCCACCAGTGTGGGGCCTGGGCCAGAGTTCGGGGACCAGCTCCTGCAGGTGGCACACAACAGTGGTCCTGAACATCTTGTCAGAACAAAGCCCTTTTTGGAGATACAGGAGACAGCTGATTATTTCTCCTTACCCTTTTCCTCCAGTTCATTCTACCCCCCAGAACAAATGGGTTGAAAGAATAAGGGACCCAACCTACTTAGGTGGATGTCTCAGAAAACCTTTAAAAAAAAGATTTTATTTATTTTTAGAGAGAGAAGAAGGGAGGGAGAGAAACATCAATGTATGGTTGCCTCTTGTGCGCACCCCACTGGGACCCTAGCCTGCCACCCAAGCATGTGCCCTGACTGGAAATCAAACCAGCCACTCTTTGCTTCCCAGTCCGGTGCTCAATCCACTGAAATGCACAGCCAGGGCTCAGAAAATCTTTCTGATAAAGGTATGTTAAACTAGACTTGAAATGCATCCCCTCCCCAAACCATCTTCTTCCAGGTGCTACTCTTTTTCAGCAACTAATTTCATCCAGGCATCACCATCTCTGGCTACACATCCTGTGACCCAGGCTCCTTCCTAACACCTTGTTAAGTTCTCTTTTGTTCAAGGCTGAGATGTCTTCAACCCACCGTTCCCCAAAGCACACTACTGTCTGTGTCCCTGTTTAAGAAATTATATGCAAAAGAGCTGGGGTAGGCTTTACCACCGGTCATCTGGACACTGGCCTTATGCCAAGTCTACATGAGTGCCCTGCATACAAGGAGACTGCCTCTTTGCCCTGGAAGCTTGGGAAGTGGGATTCGCTATGTGAGGAGTTTCTTGTGGCTGTAGGAAGGACATGCATTTGTTTTATGGATGCTGCCTCAGTACTGGAGGGAACCTGCTTTCTGCAAGTCCCTGATGCAGGCTGAGGGCTGCAAGAGGTGCCCACAGCAGCTCGAGCCTATCTTTTCTACCTCCTGTCCACCTGCCTTGATAGTGCTATCTGCCCACCCCCAGGCAAGCTTGTATGGCCTCTAGGCACTTAGATGCAGTGCACCCACTGCAACAGCTGATTCCAGAAGGGCCATGGCTGTGTAACAAGAATACTGTGATACAACCCCTCCCTACCTTCTCTGTCCCTTCTCCTGAGATCACGCATGGAATGCTGCATCCAATGTGAAGGGTTGAGTATAGCGGATCCTTGCTTTCAGCAGGAAAATGTGACTCAGTCTTACCCCCTAGGTCTAGACATGCTTGATGTCTGCACTCCCTATGCCTCCACTCTCTCCAAAACCAACAAAACCTGCAGTTGAATGGTGCCCCTGCAAAAGGTATGCCCACATCCTAACCCTTAAACCTATGGATGTGAACTAATTTGGAAAAAAGGTGCTTGCAGATGTAATTAAGAATCTTAAGATGAGACCATCCTGGATTAGTGGATGAGCCCTACATCCAATGACAAGTGTCCTAAGAGACACACAGAGACACCAAAACAGAATAGAGGGCTTTGTGAAGATGGAGGCACAAATCAAAGGACATCTGGAGCCACCAGGACTGGAAGAGACAAAGGATTAGCCTCTGGAGCTCTTGGAGGGAGCACAGCATGCAGGCATCTTGATTTTGGACATTTGGTCTCCAGAATTGTGAGACAATAAATTTGTTGTATTAAGCCACCCAGTTGGTGGTGATTTGTTGTGGTGGCCCCAGGGGAACTAACACGCCAACCCTGACAAACCCAGTGGTCCAGTCCCAGTTCTGCGCTACCCCACCCAACAGAAGCACGTGGAAGTGGCTGACCATCCTCCAGACACATCCCTCACTGAGTTCCTGACTCCACATGCTGTGTTCCTGCCTCACAGGACACATTCCCAGTCTTTCATGCTGGATCCCTCACATCTCTGACTTCTAAATGTTAGAGGCCCCAGTTCAACCTTCATGGATTCCCTTGGTGAAATCATCCAGTCCCACGGCTGTTAACACCATCCATGTGGTGGACACTCTGGAGTCAACCTCTGCAGGAACCTGGCACAGACTGAGATCTCAAGAATTCTTTGGTGAAAGAGTGATTCTTTTCCCAGGAATCTATTTTATTTTATTTTTAAAAAGATTTCATTTTATTTCTTTTTAGAGAGGGGGAAAAAGGGAGGGAGAAAGAGAGGGAAAGAAACATCAATGTGTGGTTGCCTCTCATGTGCCCCCTACTGGGGACCTGGCCTGTAACCCAGACATGTGCCCTGACAGGGAATTGAACTGACCACCCTTTGGTTCACAGGCTGGCACTTAATCCACTGAGCCACACCAGCCAGGGCTATTTTATTTTTTAATCCTCACCAAAGGATATATTTTTTAATTGATTTTTAGAGAGAGAGGAGGGGAGAAAGAAACATCTACGTGAGAGAGAAACATTGATCAGTTTTCTCCTGAACACATCCCAACTGGGGATCAAACTCGCAACCTAGGTATGTGCCCTGACTGAGAATCAAACCCACAGCCTTTTGGTGTAGGGGACAATGGTCCAATTAACTGAGCCACCCGGCCAGGGTAGAATCCCCATTTTAAATGTGTTTACCATATTTACTTCAAAATCACTTTTAGATCTACTACCTTGTTCTTCTCATAAAGCCCTGTGGCTTTTGAGTGACTGGGTGCTAGTTCCTCAGCTCTTCTGTGTCAGAACCTGGTCTCTTGGTCTTCTATGGGTCTCCTCCTCATCCCTCTGACAAGGTGGGAGACTCCTGATAGCTCATTCCACTGATTGTGCTCCCCTAGGATTTCTCTGCAGAAGGCATCCAGTCAGTGTGACTCTGTCTTTTGTTTAGAAAGGCTTCTAGTGAGCCTTTCTCTCTAGAATGGGTTGGCAAAGTATGACCCCTGGGCCCAATCTGGCCAGACACCTGTTTTTGTAGAGAAAGTTTCACTGGCACACAACCATTTTCATTTGTGTCCCTACCATCTGGCTGTCCACGCACCAACAGCAGAGCGGAGTAGCTGTGACAGAAACCAGAGGGCCCACAGAGAAAAACATATTTACTCTCTGGCCCTTTACAGAAACAGCTTGCTGACTCAGCTATGTAACATTCGAATAAGCTACAGTGAAGGCTTTCCTGTCCTTGGTTTGTTTGCACAGTCTATTATAAATCAATTCTGGACTAGAGTAAGGTGTGATTTTTTTTTTTTTTAAGACTTTACTTAGAGGGGAAGGGAGGGAGAAAAAAAGGGAGAGAAACATTGATCAGTTGTCTCTCACACATGCCCCAATCAGGGATGTGCCCACAATCAGGCATGTGCCCTGACTGGGAATCAAACCAGCGACCTTTCGCTTTGCAGGACAATGCCCAACCACCTGAGCCTCACCAGTCAGGGCAACAGAAAAAACAGATCTTTTTCTGTTTTCCCACTTGTTGCATTCAAGGGCTTTGAAATTGTGTGAATTCTATTACGTCCACGAAGGTTTCCACAATCATTAACAACCTTCCTCCTCCTTCCTGGTCCCAAAACAAGGCTTTGATTAATAAGGTTCCCATGCTTCCTGAGGGCCTTCCCACATCTGTGACACTCCCAGATTTCTTTCTTGTGTGGCCTCAGATGGGCCCTGGCTGTCCCATTTTGGCTGAAAGCATTCCCACTCTGGAGCCTTAATGCTTCTTCAGGTGTGAATACTGTGATGGGTGATGATAACAAGGGACTGGTCCCTGAAGGCCTCCCCGCACTCTCTTCCTGGGAAAGAAGGGCTTTTCTCTAGAGTGAATCCTCAGAGGAACCAAGGGCTGGGAGGTTTTATACTCTTGGGCTTCTCTCCACTGTGAACTCTGCAGTGTAGTTAGTGTTGTTGGGTTCAGAACAAGCCACCAAGATGTGCCTCAGTGGTAGGCCGATTGTTTCATGCTAAAGGCAACACCTGCCTGCTCAAGACAAACTTCTGCTCCTTCTTTAACTACCTAGAAGAACTTGACTTAAGGGCCTTGCCTGTAAGAAGAGATTATCAGAAATAACCTCTTTTGACTTGTCTACAAGGCATGGCAAACTACTAATTACTAACATATGTTCTCCTTGCAGTGGCCCTTTGAAGCCCCCAAGGCACCTCACCTTAGCTCAGAATGTCATATATACCCATATTCCTTTTCTGTCTCTGAACTTCTCATATATGCGGGGTTCCCATATATATGTATGTAATTAAACTTGGTTATTTTCTCTTGCTAATACGTTGCGTGTCTATTTGATCATCAGACCAGCCAAAAAAAACCCTTGAAGGTAGGGGGAACCTTGCTCCTTTCCCACAGTGTAACACATCAAAGCTCTTCCACACTTAATGCCTGATGATCATGGCCTATTTAGGCTGTGAACTGTGTGGCATGTAATGAGGTGTGACCTGTCTCTGAACTCTTTCCTAC